CACTTCTGGGTTATTTTCAGCCGGAACTAGAAGATAAGCTTGAGCTTATTGTTAGATGAGGCTGGATTTGCAGATTTATATCATTGGTTGTGTGCGTGCTATAAGGGCCCCTGACTCATATTTATGAAAAAGAAATTTTAATTCGGAACAGTTTTTGCGTTGTCACGTAAACAATGACGTGAAGTTATTGACCGTGTTCTGTGTGATTTGTCACTGGAAATGATTACCACCTTCGAAACGAAGAAATTTTTGCAAATTAAATTACTGTTTTATTCTTGGTTATTTGCGTTTCAAATTTTCGATTTCTTATTGTTGCTTATTTTAGACAACTGATTGGTTGTAATTGGAATTTGTTCAAGTGTTCCTGTATGTTTAAGAAAGTACATTTCAGTCTTATTGCATCATCTTAAAAGTACCGTATTTCTACCGATGTTGATCGAGTGATGAAACAACGCGTTGAATAATCATTTGTTAAAGTGTCATATTTCTCTGAGTAGCACTATAAATTGAAAGTGCTTTCAGTGCTCTCAATCGGGTGAATCAAATAAAAGCGCAAAATGGCGAATGAACTGATGAATGGAATACGCTTTAAGATCTCACAAAAAAACCCAGCATATGCAACGTTGTTAGCGTTGAATGCGTGTAATTATGACCTGGAAGCGTCAGTGGAACGTGTTGATTCAGAGCAAAACGATTACACTATGTAAGTTCAAATTAAACTCTCATCTTCACGTGGTTATGCGCTGCTTTGTAGGAATTTTGCAATCGACTTTTGGAATTTTATGCACTGATGTAGATGTCATTTTCAGCGATGGTTTCAAGTATTCAAATGACGCATCATTGGCCCGTTTTGTGGTTAGAACGTGTGCATCTCACGCTAATGAATTGCTTGGAGCGAACATAAGTGAACAATTACAAGTTAGTCATTTCGTTGTTGCGTTGGTGATGGCTTTCTTATGCACAACCAAATACGGAGAGATTCTGACGCTATAATTGAAATTCTTATGGTAATGATTTTAAACGATCATAAATGGTTGATTGTATTAAGGTAGACGAATGGGTCACAGCAGTTGAAGAGATGCTGGAATACGATGGTTGTGGTGACGTTGAAGAATTCATGAAATTGGTTGTGACACGTTTGGATCGGTCATCAACACTCGCTCTCGATCGTATCACGCTTGCCGATTTCGTTGTTTGGGCACTTCTCGCCCGCAATCAACAGCTGGTAATATCGTTTTCATTTAACCGTATTGAACAGTCATTTCACTCCATAATTATTTTAACGTTGAATTCATTGTGGAATAAACAGAATTGATAATGCTGAATCAGTCTTATCAGCAATCTGTATTCGACCTTTCAATTAATCATAAATTTATTCTTCATTTGGCCCTTAATAATAAATATCGCATCTGTGGAGAATGACAGTCATCTTTCAGCTACAAAAGCAGCAATCATTAAAGAAGTTCTTCGAGCGGATTTTGAACGATGAACGATTCGCGGAGGCACATCAGATTGCAGGGAAGTTCAGCGTGATCACTCCCGTGGTCACAGTGAATGGCAAAGAGAAGCAGCAACAGAAAAAGACAAAAACCAATGAGGTTTGTTGAGTGAGTTTGTGTATTTTTGTTTTGAACGTTTCTCAGCCATGCTGACTTCAATTGCGATTTCAGTCGAATTTCTAATGGGCAATTTTGTTTGCAGCGCAAAACTGCTGAACAAAATGCTGGTCAAACGAAAGAGAAGACAAAAGACGAGGGAAAGTTTGCGGAATTACCTGGAGCCGAGAAAGGCAAAGTTGTGGTCAGATTTCCACCAGAGGCTAGCGGGTGAGTTGGTGGCACGGTTATATATTTGTATATTTGCGCAATGGATTTAGCATGATCGAAGTTCAGGTTGATTAATTGTGCAGATTCGTTTGTTGGGCCTGTCATCAGTTGAAACTGTTTGCTTTGAAATGGAGTAGGGTACACTTGAGACCACGAATATGATTCATCGGCAAAAATTCAACGAGATTTGTGTTGCTCTTTTTTTGAATTTCAGTTCCGATTTCAGTTATCTTCATATTGGACACGCAAAAGCCGCATTGCTGAATCAGTACTATCAGCAAACATTTGAGGGTCAGCTTATCATGCGTTTCGATGATACGAATCCAGCCAAGGAGAACGCTCATTTCGAAGAGGTTCTTTGCCACTCTCATAAATCATTCTTATCAAGATGTGTTCTCAAAAATTTTGCTTTGTTGATCATTTGCAACACCTGGATGAGGCGTTTGAAAAGAATGAATTAAAGGTGATCAAGGAGGATTTGGCGATGCTCGAGGTGAAGCCAGATCGTTGGACACACACTTCGGATCATTTCGAGACAATTCTGGGAATGTGTGAGCGTTTGTTGAAAGAAGGCAAAGCATTTGTGGACGATACGGATGCAGAGACAATGCGAAAAGAACGCGAAGAACGAAAAGAGAGTAGAAATAGAAATAATCGTCAGTGATTCTTATCATCGATTTGACTCTACGCTGAATTTATCATAAAACCATTATTTTTCTGGAATTATCATGAAACACTGATTTTATTTTTTCATTGATATTCGGACGCATAACTCTAGTCAACTGCTCACAATCAGTGAAATTTTAAAATACTTATCCGTTAACTGAAATGTGATCGATCATCACATCATTATTAGCGCTGTTTACCGTAAAAAATTTTCATCCGAAGTCGGCTTCGTTTTCTGAAATTCAACTGTAAATTTACAAACTTCTCATATTATTTACGTTTATACTGCATCCGTGTTTATTTTTCAGCCGTAGCAAAGAATCTTGAACTATGGGATGAAATGAAGCGAGGTACACAGCGGGGTCAGCAGTGTTGTGTTCGTATAAAGATTGATATGAGCAGCAATAATGGTGCTATGCGTGATCCAACGATCTATCGTTGTAAGAACGAGGCACACGTTCGAACGGGCAATAAATTCAAGTGAGTT